GTTTCTATGTGGCCAGGGGCTAGAGTCTATTCAAGGGGTTGTTTTTGTGGGTAGAAAAGATCTCGTGATAAATTTAAATGGGAAGCAACCTTAAACGAACCTTCTGCTCCCGTGGACCTGGTCCAGATGAGGTCTTAGAATCCTTTATGTTTAGACTGGCTTTCTAGGGGATGCCTTAGTAACTTCTGGATGGCGATGATGGGTACACACGGGACGAGTGACTCTGACTTGGTATTGTGGGCTTGTTTGCGGTGAGAACGTGCCCAGAAGTCTACATCGGGACTTAAGAGAGGTCGACCTAGAGGAATAATAAGACGCTTCCATGCTTGTGGGGATTTACATTCTCATACCTTTCACATCCTCAAGGTCTTACTCTTTGCACTTCCTATTTTTCATGGTAAATTGAGATGAACTTGGATTCGACCTCGTAGATGCTGACTCTGTCGTCCATCTTCATCCTGGGTGCTATCGGAGTGGATGGATGTTGAAGGAAGAGGCTGGTCTGCATTGAAAATTTCAACCAGCCCAGGAAGGGATGATTTTATGAGATGCATGGAAACGATGGCACGTGAAATTATATTTAAAAAAATGAGATTAACAATAGGAAGAGAGAAACAATGAAATGAGTCCTTTGGAATGATGAAGGTATTCTTTTGTATGTCTTACTTTGGTTGTTGATCCTTGGTTTACATTGTTCAGTTACTTTTTCTTGATTCAGTAGCTAATTCAAATATCTTTTTTAGGTCTTATCAAAGCTTCTTGGATGATATCTGAAAAACTCGAGGATCCTTCTTATAAATGAAACAATGGAAGATCATGGTAGCTTGGCGGTGTCGAGTTTATCAGGCAGTCTGTCGTTAAGATTAGAGTCCTATGTGCTGTGCAATGCAGAGAGGGAGTGGACTAAGTTGAAGGAAGATCTGGATGTCCTCCAGAGGACGTTGGAAGTAGAAGCAGAAGAGACCCGGAAGTCTTGCCTGAGGAGAAGCCCTTTTATTGAACGTGATAAACATTTTTATAGGCCCCACGCGAATTGCTTCTTTTTACAGTAGCCATCTTACTTCGATCTGGCCAGGGTCCTTCTTTACTCCTTTCATTCCCTTGCATTCCATTCGATTCATCTCTTGGACTTACCATCCCTAAATGTATCATCCACCATGTAACTGATAATTCAAATTTTTCTTACTCATAAAAGTCTTTATGACTTTAGGTACGCTCATCTTTTCATTTTCATCTGAAATCTCAAGATACGAGGGAACTTAAATTTTTTTAATAAATCCCCAGATCCATAGATGAAGAAATTTTTCTAGAAGTTAAGGACAAGTCCTGATCCCATTTTAATACCCGTGACTATGCCTTGAAAAGGAGAATAGAATGAAAATCCTGATTTATCTTAAAAAAAAGAATGTATCTCATTCTAGATAAAATAGATAAATTTAATATGGCTTAGAAAAGTATCTATCTTTCTACATTTCTATATCGAGTTGGCAAACCTGTACGCATGGTTAGAACAGATCTAGAGCTAGATGATACAATGGAATCAGGTTACAATTTCCCTAAAGATATGCCTAGGCTAGATCCAGATAGGACTAAGAAGGATCCCAATATCCCTAGCATCCGTCCTAGCTCATTCTAATCTATTTGAAATTGGTTTCCACTAGCTATCTAGATATACCACTAGCCTTTCACAGTAATAGAAATGGATTCTGATCCTGAGACATCTCATCTCTAAGATTTCCTGAATATTTAAACTCATCCCAGTATCGAACTGATCTCAAGGGCTGCACCATAGGCTATAGTGAATTTAATGGTACCTTGATACTAACTCCAAAACGTTATCCATTAATATCATGGAATTTATCACTATGATAGTATTCAGCAGTTATGCATGGTACAGTAATAGATCATTTATGACTATATCTCCTACAGGACCTGACCCATGGTCATCCTGACCAGGGATGATACAAGGGATAGAGAATTACAAGGATGTATAACTTGGACGATCCAGGTACTATTTACCATCCCTTACTATTCTGCACCTTCCGTCATCTGCTGGTGCATCCCCCAGGGAACCTGACGTCAAACGCAACTCACACTGGTACACGTGGATTATTTCCAGATGAAAATGTCTAGGTGAGTATAGGTAGACGATGAAGAGTACGCAAATAAATTTTTAATATTGGCTACACACACAATTTGGCTATTTGGTTCCTGCATGAATCATCCTCTCTGTGGATGAAACAATCCTCTGATAATCTCAGTCATCTTTCAAAGGCCTATTAATCCTCTATACTGTCTGATCCGCTTCATCCCTTTCTGATATAAAGGAATTTTTGAAATTACTCTCCTCTTTGTGGCCAATGAGGTGATCTTTGGACAAAGGACTGTGGTCGAGGACAAGTCTGGAAAGCTTCTTGGTAGTAAGGTAAATGTAATTAACTATTCCTCTATGAGGGTGCAGTGTGTGTTCTTGGGATTCATCATAGAATTGGTACCAGGTATTTGCATTGGTACTAGGGGATGATTATGTGTAGGGGATGATGGGAGTAGTAGAGCTGTGACATTATCGAGACATCTTTTTCCGTCGGGGTGCATACCCTTTAAACGAATTTTCGTCTCGCGCACTTACCACCCTCTGTTCAACCCTCTATTGCATCCCTTATACTTGCCTGAGTATTTTTGCATTTTCTAGAAGTAAAGTGGCTGGCGTCATCCTGGAGACGGAATTCTTGTTCGTAGGAGATCCTTGGATGAAGTTCTTGGAGATCCGTTCTTTGGATGAAGTTCCTGTAAGCCAAATTAATTGCTGGTTATTTTATTTGGACGTACAGTTTATGGATGTTGGTTTGTATATATATATATATATATATATATATATATATATCCCTAGTTTTCCAGTCTTGTAGAACCACTGACTCTCGAAGTCAATTAGCACAGAACGCAATGCCCGACCTGTTCCAGGTTTCGCTGCGTAGCCCGACGCCCAACGTCGGCGTCGTTGTACACCTGTAATCCGGCCCGAGTAATTAGACAGCCCCGAGGCACATTTCCATTTGAGGGAACATGAGTTTTTTGTCGAGGTAAAACGAGCCACTCTCTAACCCCTGGCTGGGGTAGCACCCTGGTAAGGGGTGGTACCGGTCCGGGGCTGGCTCTGTGAGCGAGAAACCATGACACGCAGTCAATTTCTACCAGCCCTCCAGCTCTTAATCTTGTCTCCAGCACCTCATCCAAAACACACGAGAGGTAAAGTCACTCCCTCTCGAACGCTCAACTCTGAATTTTACATGCTGCCTAAGTTCTGCTTAGTATCCCCTAACGAGTAAGGGTTATGTTATAACCTGCCACCGCTTCACTGGGGTCTAATGGCACTTGTTCTTTTTTTTTTATACCCAAAACGTTCTCTGTTTATGATTCCATGAGGCTGACTTGTCGAGGGTAGTTTTCACCATGTTAGACTTAGCAAGATCAGGGAGCCCAAGGACGGGGCTGCTACTTGAGTGAGCCGGCGAACGAGTACTTTGGAAGCACCTGAGACTCCCTTCTTCATCAGGACCTCATCCAGACCAGGGGCAAGAGGAGGATCCTCTTCGCCGGCATTGTCATGAGAAGCGGCAGTAGTCCCAGCATGTAAATACCATGATTGATGGGGTAGAAACAACCCTCGAATCGTTTCACCCATCTCTCCACAACCCCTACGTTCCACCCATTTCAAAGTACCCGATGTGCTGACGGACGCCGACGCCGCGCACGGCCAAGTTTACAAGGGATCACAATGGACCCATGCCCAATTTTCCAACAACCAGCCTACTACCCCCTCACAACCCCATACTTAACAATCCCCCATTGTTGGCATTGTTTGACTGTTCAATGGGACGTGGATGTACCACTTACGAGTTCATAGAATCTGTTGCCAACACACATCTATGCACGCTGCTCATTCCTGACGCTTCTCTTCCACAGCCATTTCATCCCTTGGAGCATCCTCTTTTCATCCCACCGTCATCAGCCACTCTACGTACCACCAACAGCAGCATCTACGTCGTGACTGGGTCCTCGTACCACCTCGTACTCGTAAAACCCCCCAGGACTCCATTATACGGAACTGTCAGCTCGGCGCTCGAACTCCCTAGATCCGCAACGAACGCATTCTCACCATCTTGGATACGGTTGGCAGCTCTGAGAGAATTCGCAAACCTACACTGAGAATTATATTGCGGAAGTGACGTCACTTAATCCAGACGTACAACCAGTCTCATTCAAGATCATACTCCGTGTCTGGGATACGGAGCCAGTTTTAAGATACCAACAGTAACGGACTCCATACGACTCTTCATTTGAACACGGGGGAATCCCCTGAGTCCCTCGTCAAACAAGGCGGGAAAATTAATTTGAATTGTCAAAGTTATCGATCACCGTTGATGCATTTATCTCGATACCAACACGTGCTTTGATCTACGTGACGTTTAAAGCACGAGCCAGCATCGAGTCTGCAGCAACGTATTAGCAATTTAACGGGCCGCCACCTGCGATAGCTGTTATAACATAATTATATAGCATCGCCCTGTTGGTACTGCGTGTGCATCCCGGTACGGCGTGACGTGCGCCATGGGATACTGGATGCTGGATGTGGTACATACGCGTTATTACATATATATGGGATATATGTAGGAGAATATCGGTACACAGGACTGGTGCGTCCAAGGTGAGAGAGAAATGGCGTCCCGGGTACCAGAGGGGAGTAAGGGGCGAGAGTCAAGGATGAGTACCAAGGGAAGCTGGTTGGTTACCGCTGGTTGCAGCTGGTTCCTGCTGGTTGCCTCTGGTTCCACCCTGGCACTAGGGCCGATAGTACTGAAATTGCTCGTGGGGTGACTCTCTCGCGGCTGCTGCTGCTGCTGCTGCTGCTGCTACCCCCTATCCCCTCCAGCCTCCCTTGCTGCCACTGTTGGGGTAGCGGCGCGTGTTACGAAGGGCCAGAGACCGGGCGAACCCAGGCCGTCTGGTTCAGTACGCTACCGTCTCTCGCTGCGTTCGCCAGATACACGGTAGACGCCCGACGTCGCGACGACAGTTTATCCATCGAGGAGATAATCGAAGAGCGCGTGAATTATGTTGACAAACTTTTGATTATATCGCTGCGAGATTGGGACTTCAGTTTTTTGAGATGTGAGAAGATGTGACTAGAGATTTTTCTTATTTTTTTTTTTTTATATTATTTTTACGTACGGTTGCTTGTGTTGACTGTGTGACTTTGTTCTTTGCTAATGATTTTCTGTTGTTGAGAAATGTGGATTTTTTTTATTGTCATGCTGAATTAATAGTACTGAAATTTTGGTACTGAAAATTGCTTATGGAATTTTTGGGGGAATTTTTTGCATACTCCGGGGGTGGTGGGAAAATTTGTTCACTATGTCGGATGCTGCGTTGACGAATTTTCATGGTTCATCCTTTTCGATCTCTTGCTCTAATCCTATCTCCGTCTCCCTCTCTCTCATTACGCTTCGCCATGCACTTAGCGGGTAGAACGGCAATCCGGCTATCGAATCGAGCGACGTTTAATACATCGAATGCTGGACTCGGTCTGGATGCTGGGGAATAATTGATGGTGCGGATGAAACGCATCGTGAGATCGAATGGATCGCGATTCGCGGATGCTGCGCCGTTGGCGCTTTTACCACTTTGGAAATGCATCTGGCACACGAGTGGCGTGGATGCTCGAGATGAATTTGCGATTTTTTAAAATTCTTTTGCGTATTCCTACTTTTTTATCACTTTTTTAAGTAGCAATCGGTATCTGCATTATTAACGATTACAGAGTGAGTGTTTATGGATTTATTAGGAATTTTTGTTTTTCAGATAAATAGTTGTGCTTTATGGAAAATCCGAGTGTGACACGTGTTTAGTACTGATGATCTCTTAGATACGTATAAACAAGTATTATAGGGACGATATAAGATTTTGGGATGCTGGGCCGAATCCGTGTAGCTGCTTAATAAGGATCTTTTGGTTCAAACTATTGTACTCGAATGAGATTTTTTTTTTCCCCATTAAAATGGAATTCCGTTTCATTTCCAGATAGTGGGTAATTAAAAGTTGACGTCGCGACGGCCGTTTCCCGCTTTCGAGAAAATTATTCCTTATCATTCCAGACACTTTTCCATTCTCTATTATCTCCCGATGTCTCTTTTACCATCGTCATCGTATTCCGTACTGCCTTTTGTTCCTTAGGTGGAATTAAAACGTACCAGGCCTGAAAATACGCTCAGTAGCGATATATAACAGTGCGTCCGGAGATAAAAATAAAAAATAAAGTACCTGCGTCGACTTGATTTTTGACCAAAAAAAGTTGAAAATCGGTCTTCCGGCAGTTTTTTTAAAATTTAAAAAAAAATGAGAAGTTACTAGGGGATGAAAGGAATCGAACCCTCCCGCCCAGGGGTTGCAGGCGAAGAGCGAGGGGTGCAATTTTCCAGGGTAACGTGTGTGGACGTAAAAGACAGCTTAAGGAAAAACTCGTAATGCCTGGAGGTTAGGTTGGGGCGACTGTGAGGGCGAGAGGAAGGAGGCTGCGTAAAGGGGACGAACTATGTCAGTCCGAGTGATGCAGCTAAATGGCGGAGATGAACGTTAATGGATTTCTAGTTATGTGGAAAAAGCATTAAATCCCTCGCATGCTCTTGAAGAAATTAATTTCGATTGCTGTCCCGTTAGCTGGTACTGGGGGTTGGCATTTTTTGAGGGTGGGTTAGCTGGGCGACTCTCCGATTGGCTGGTTCAGTGGATGCCGATTTTAAGGGTAGTTTACCTTACAGGCTGATTTCGTTCGAGGATTTCGTTCACCCCGTATATCACCGTATCTAGGGATATCGTGTGTAGGTCTATATTATCTGGGGGAAAAAAGAACCTTAAAGGTATTTTGTTTCCGCGTTAATAGGGGAAAGAGGGAAACTTTTGTCACTAGAATAACAGTAGCAATATTCTCGAGCGTATAAGTAGTCAAAGTCAAAAGTTTTTCCTTCTCTATACGCTAACATTTTAGTGACTTTTATGAGGACGAGAAAAGGACCTTAGCAGCGAGGATAATGGACGTCCCATGGACATTTCGAATGAAAATATGTTCTCAGTCTGATCCGTACGAGCATTTCATCCCCCTGTAGGAACCCAATCCTATTCTTCTTTTAACTTCGTTCCCTAGACCATACGCATCCTGCCAACGCTAAAAGTTCCAAAATGCTAATATTTTATTTTCCCTATTTTTCTACTTTCTGTAAATGACCACAGCGTAGACCGCCGTATACCGAACTACAGAAATATCCCTATTTGTTAGTGCCAACCTTTCTGAATGATCTATTGAAATTAATCCCTAGTTTCTCTTAAATAAAGGCACGTATCGTCAGATTTGGAACAGTCGAACAAAAAATTCCCTAGATAATTTTTTTCAGAAATTCATATATAATTACTTCGTGCCACCCCTCGAGTGGGGG